TGAATAGTCAACACAAAACCCGACAGTCGAGGAACCTATAATTTAACCTCCGGTCGATCCTCAACTTGACACAGTTGTTGTCAGTCTAGAACCCGATGGCATTCCTGATGAGACAATGGTCGACTCGGCCTTGGCAACTCCCTTATCCAATCCAACAAACATTATTGCACAGTTCATTTTGGACGAAAAAGTATGGAAGCGCCCTAGCATTCATCTCATATATCTCAATTAACTTCACTAAAATTTCTAACTCTTGTTATTAAGATGACGACAACGAGCCGAGTCCTTTGGTGAGGCATCATCGATTGGCTGGGCAACCGAGTGCTACTCCCCTTCTCCTTGATAAAGGCAAAAATGTTGCATCTTTTATACCCAGTCTAGGCCAAGGCGATACCCACTTACTGGCCGAGGTGACTAGCTGTGTCGATCCTAAAGCAGCCGTTGAAGGGCCAACCGTCGAACCGATAGTTTCTGTAGAATAAGAAGCGACCGTAGAAACGCGAGTTCATCCTCAAGACTAAGATCTTGGCATCCCTGCCCAAGATGTCATCTTGGCCTTTGTAAGTCTCCTTTTATTTTGATTTTGACTTGTCTTAGAACGCTAAAACGAAGTAAAATCGTTAACTGTCAGGTGCCTAATCGTTCATTTCATCAAAAATTCTATGAGTCGAAGGGCGTTATCTATATTATGTGGCCGCCTCGGTGGCCATCAAACATATATAACTTCATCGGCCATATGAATGAAAAATATGTCTTAAACATTGGCATTGGCTATTAAGCTCTGTGGGTTCGACCAACAGCCCAGAAGATATGGCCAAAGTCATTTCTCGACAAGTCTAAAAACACTTTTCTTTTGTCATTCATTCTTTTAAATTTCCTCATCTAACCTTTCTGTTTGTATAGCCTTCATAGGAAATCGATCTTGACGCCTATCTCACCAGAACATTTGGGACGACCAACCCTTCTGTAGCCCCGACCGAGTCCAATGCTCTAACCAAACTACAAGAAACTCTATCTCTCTCAGCTTTGCAAGCTCTTTAGATGAAAGGTCTCGACTCTGTTGGAGAGTGTCTGAATAACCTTGCAACTGACGGTCTAGTAAGCAATAAAAGTGTTGTTCACTTAACAACTATCTTGGAGTGAACTCGGCTATACTTTGATATTTTTTAGAAGGTTCTTCAAGCTGACGAAGACTTGAAAGCTGCAACAGCTGCTCAGGAGGCTATCTTACCAAACCTAAAGGCCAATAAAGCAAAGAAAAAGAAGATGGCAGATCTCGACTGTTAAATTGCCAAGCTTCAATCCCAAAGATCTGCCATTGCTTCTGAGCTTGAGAAGGATTTTGAGGTAAACAAACCTCGGTTGGCAGAGTATGCGGCCAGCGCAAAGCGGATACAAGTGCTGAAGGCTAGCAAGAGGATTCGGCATGCCGAGATCATTATGGGCGAAGTAAAATGACTAGAGTTAAAAGCTACACCTGAAGCCTTTCTTCCCTTGACCCCATAGATTATGTTCCTAGTGCCAACTTGTGGACTGGTCGACTTTTTATGTATATACATATGTACTTTTTGCAGTCTTATTGAAATATCTTCTCATTCTTGCATCTCCCCAGTAATTGGATAATACTTCTTTAAGAACTTCCTATTGATTGGCAACTTGTATATTAAACCAGCTCGATCCTTGAGATGATAAGCCCTCTTGTCGAGAACCTTGTGAACGACAAACGGTCTTTCCTAATTCAGCGACCATTTTCCAAACCTAGGATCCTTGATCTCAACTGGTAACATCGCTGAATCCTGTTGAATAGTTTCGGTGCCAACCTCGATGGTTTTTTTGACAGAGATTCTGGTAGACCTTCCTTCATCGTTAAAACCTTGCAGAGTGATATAGCCGACCTATTTGTCATAATAAGGGGCTTGAGTCATGTTAGCCTCGAACGGCTGATTATCGGCCGGATGAACCACATCTGATTTGTCATCCTAAAAAATAAAGATCTGGTATAGCGAAGAAAGGGTACAACTAGTCTGGTAGATCTAGTCACGACCAAGCAATGCATTGTACTCGGTCTTTGAACCAACTATAAAAAAAAAACGGTCATATGATTTTGACTTGCGATATTTACTTCCAAAGGTAGTACTCCTTTAGTTTGAGACTTATCGCCAATAAAGCTGCTCATGGTTACGCCAGATGGAATGAGCTCATCTTTGGAGTGGCTCACGACCAAGCAATGCATTGTACTCGGTCTTTGAATCAACTATAAAAAAAAACAATCATATGATTTTGACTTGCGATATTTACTTCCAAAGGTAGTATTCCTTTAGTTTGAGACTTATCGCCAACAAAGCTACTCATGGTTACGCTAGATGGAATGAGCTCATCTTTGGAGTGGCGTAAATCATTCATTATGAACACGAGCATTATGTTAATCATTGCTTCGCAGTGAACGAAAATTTTGGATATCAGGTATCCTTCAATATGGATTGTTACATACAACGACTTCAGATGATAAAGGTTGACGGCCAAAGAATGGGGGAATAACTCGAGTAGGGCTACTTTGAGCTTGTCCTCCTTGATAATATGTTCGGCCTTTTATGTACATAAGCTTATAGATAAAACTTAGATATATACCATATATATAGTATTAGGCTATTAGCATGTAGTATAGATATTGTTTATATGATATCTATAATGTATGTAAACCATGTCTATATCCACAATGTTGTTGACATGGTAATAGATAGTTATCGATATGTTGGATATCTCATATATACTCAAAGAAGCATAGAATGGGAGAATAATTTCCGTAGTATATTCAACAACTAGGGTTACATCTTTATGATGATATGGTAATAGATAGCTATCGATATGTTGGATATCTCATTTATACAATGCCTCTCAAAATATGAACGTAAACTATTGCCTACAAACAAGGCTAATCAAAGACTCCCATTCCACACTTTCTGATGATGGTATCATAGCATCCTTGTAGTTGACACTTCCTAAGATTTCCTTCGATATGGATCCTAAGAGCCATGTCTTAACCAGATTGTCGCATCAATTCCATTGCTGCAATTCTTCAGGTTTATCTTCACTTAGCTTCTTGACCGTTCCATCAACAAGCCCTAGTTTGTTTTTGACCGTTAAGGCCATGGTCATGGAATGAACCTATGTGTAATTATCTTCCATCAACGGCTGCGACACAAGCATTGTTCAAAGTTGGTCCGAATGGTGGCGATAGAGTAAGTGATCAAGGCTTTCCCACTTCAGATCATGCCTAAAGAGGTTGGCTTGTTGTCTACATTGTCACCCATGGCTGCGTTTGCTAGGGTTTGTATTTGTGTTTTGCCTTTTATTTTCCTAGGGCAATTACTCTGGTACCATCATAAGAAACGTAGAATAAGAGAATGATTTCTGTAGGATATATTCATCAACTAGGGTTACATCTTTATACAATGATCTCTCACAATATGATCCTAAACTATTGCCTACAAACGAGGCTAATCAAAGACTAAACAAGGAAGTAAATAACTAAATATCAATTTACAATATTGACTAATTAATTTGAAATATTTAGTTATTTACTTCATTGTTTAGTCTCTAATTAGCCTTGTTTGTAGGCAGTAGTTTAGAATCATATTATGAGAGTCATTGTATAAAAATGTAACTCTAGTTGATGAATATACTACAGAAATTATTCTCCCATTCTATGCTTCTTATGATGGTAATAGAATGATTGATCTGGGAAAATAAAAAGCAAAATACAAAGACAAATACAAACCCTAGCAAACGCAGCCATATGTGACAACGTAGATGAAAATTCAACCTCTTCATGCATGACTTCACATCTAAAGTGGGAATGCCTTAATCACCGACTCTATCTCCACCATTCGGACCAACCTAGTCTAGTGTTGTGCTGCAGCCGCTGGTGGAGGACAATAACAGTACATGGATTCAATCCATGAGCATGGCCTTAATGGTCAAAAACAAATCAGGGCTTGTTGATGGAACGATCAAGAAGCCAAGTGAAAATAAACCTGAAGAATTGCAGCAATGGAATCTATGCAACAATCTGGTTAAGTTGTGGCTCTTAGGATCCATGTCAAAGGAAACCTTAGGGAGTGTCATCAACTGCAAGGATGCTCTGATACCATCATAAGAAGCGTAGAATGAGAGAATAATTTCCGTAGTATATTTATCAACTAGGGTTACATCTTTATACAATGACTCTCACAATATGATCCTAAACTATTGCCTACAAACAAGGCTAAAAGAGACTAAACAATGAAGTAAATAACTAAATATGATCAATTTCCAATATTGACTAATTAATTTGAGATTTTGTTTAAAAAAAAAATAATTTAGATATCTTCCTTAACATATACTTTCACGATATTGTTCACTCGCCACCACATGTTGCTATTGCCATAACCTTGCTCGCTGTCGCAAGCTGGAGGATCGACAAAGAACGAACTCAGATCGATTGATAATTGAACTTAGAACGAGTTAGAATGACTTTGATTTGGTGAGAGAGGAAAGTCGCACAAGGATCTCCCTACCAAGATTTCTCCCTTTCTTCTTTTTCTTGAAATTATGTAGAATTAATTCCAAACACCACCAAATGGCCATCGACCAATATTATTTTCCAAAAGAAGAATAATTTGCAATTGGAAAATTGATAGGTTATATATATATATGCCTAACTGGATCATTTGAAAAACAATAAGAGAGACTGGGAGAGGATTTGTGGGTAGTAGAGAGACTGGATCATCTGAGATTTTTATTTTGTTGCTTCTATTTCCTCATTGAATAAAAATTTCTTGCACAAGTGTTCCAGTATTGAATATTTACTTCTTAGATATGTTTGTTTCTCTTGAAATAAAGTTTTCTTGGCAGTGGAATTAGATATCTGTGACAGTACGGAAATTATCATTCGGGGAGATTACGGTTAAATGCAAAATCGTTGGCATTCATTTTTGAATTCGAGATATGATATCAAAATATCAAAGCTAAAATTTTGGAGCATTCATGCTTTACAATAGAATCTAAGTAACAATATATATGTAGAGCTACATAAAGAGTTTACATTTTTCAATTTTAACCGAAATGTACATACAAATGTCTAACTCAAGTATCGTGGTACAAATGGGTTGCCAAAGCGTCAAGAAGGAGTTAGTGATAGGATAAGTGATAAACAAAATGATCTTCTTCCCGCATATTTTTGTTTCTTCCAACGAAGTATGCTGTGAGGACCACCATTTTGTCTATAAGTTTTCACTGAAATTAGGCAACTCAGTGAAAAAGGTTTTATCTTTCCTCCCTGTACTTGAAGATTTGGATATACAGGGAAATCTTGATCAAGGCAACGTCTGCACCAGAACTGAGGACGTTAGTAATGTTGATGACAAACATAACTTTTTATTACCGCTCTGAAACTCGTAACCATATAGAACACATAACAGTGATAAGGAATCCCTAGCACACAAGAAGTTCACATCAAAACTGTCATATCTGTTTTTCTTTTTTTGAGAAATTTGGCGGATCAATTCATTTAAGAAATTTAAAAAACTGAAACACATTACTCGTTCCACTCATGGATAACAAATAAAAAGAAAGAAACTTTAACAAAAAACTCTCCGTACTGTTCGAAAACCACATTTTTAATAAATAAGAAGGATTAAAAGCTGGCAAAAAAATCAAAAGCTGACTCCAAAAGCTGGCTTGTTTATCAGGTTTCAATTTACTCACCAGGTCTTGAACATAATAAACTGAATTAAAAGCTGGCTTGTTTAAGATGGAAGAAACCTAGGTAGGGAGCTTTTCAGGTATAAAGAAAACAATTATTGGGCCAGAGATCATAGCCGTTGGCTATCACTCAGGGTAGAAAAACAATGAATTGGGATCATTCTTTTGGAAAGCTGTGATATCGGACACAATATCAAATCTATAAACCGAAATTGCTCATAGGTTTTTTGGAACATATCAAAACTAAAGGGCACAAAGACCTATGCTCTTTAGGAAATTATCAGATGAAATGACGTATGACAAGAAAACCCCAGCACACAAATTATGTCAAAACCAAGGTGTTCCAGATCCGTTTTTCGTTTTTTTTTCTTTTCAATAAATTTGGCAGCGATGGAAGATCGATCAATTTACCAAGTAACAAACCAAAACACAACGGCCGCTGTCTCGCCAATGCCAAACAAAAACAAATAAAAAATAAAATAGATCGGTATATGAAGGGTTAATTACTTGAGCAGCCTTTTCTTTTCAGCGTTTCCTCGTACCTGGTGGTCACTCGTAAGCCAAAACCATTCCCTCCATACATTGAATTGAAATTCTAATAAGAAATAAGAGAAAGAGAAAGGTGGGCAGATTCGTACACACATCAACTGAGCAGTGTTTGCCTCAGTTTTATAGAATAAGCGGACGGCGGTTTTGAAAAACTATTGGCGTCAATACCTCTGTCTGGTATTAGGGTTTGGTGGCTTAATCTTATCTGCTGCCTCAGCAACGTTAATTCACAAGGTTTCGTCTGGCACGTGTGTTTAGTTGATCTGCCTGATTTAAGCTATTATATCAATTTCACGTATTTGTTTAAGAAAAGAGAGGACCATTTTCTGTTTTTGTTTAATTTTGATTTTTTAAAAACAAGTTTTGTGAATTTAAAATTTTAATTATTTAGTGTAAGTTACGTAATTTTAACATTTTATGAAAGAGCATTGTTGTTTTGTTGAAAATAATAGAGTTCGGTTCAAATATATGAAGGGAGAACTTGTTGATAAAAAGATCATCGTTGTTTTGTTGAAAATAATACTGTTTGGTTCAAACATATAAAGGAAGATGTTTTTGGCACTCTAAAAATGTCATAGTGCATTTTTTCTTAATGATAACAAAAGGGAACAAATATACATGTGAAGAAAATGTGTGATGACTTTTTAATGTGCCAATAACAATTCTCTTAATAAATAAATGAAGATGGAAACTGGCCGATGACTTCGAGATGGAGCAAGATCAGCTTCTAGTTATGGTACGTGAATGTTTTAGGGTTTAGGGAAAGTAGATCGGTTTTGTATTACCATTCTATTTGAATTAACAAAAACAATCCTTCTACAAATGGATGATCAAACATTCATGATTTCAATGCAAGTGAATCGAATTTCGAAATCTGATTTAATGTCCTAGGGTTTAGGAAAAATAGACCGGTTTTGTATCACCATTCTATTTCAATTACCAAAAACAATCTTTCCTTAACAAGGATGACCAAACATTCATGATCTCAATGCGAGTGAATCGAAATTCAAAATCTAACTTTACTATCCTTCCATAGGTACTAATTAATCGACAAAGAAAGTTCTCCATAATTTTTTCGTGATTTTTTCTGTAACTCTGTTTGGGCCCAAAATAACACTTTGGACCGAACCGAAAATTGTTCTCGGTTCAATAAGGAATATCGGGAATATTCTTTACCATGGGCTGAGCCTAGTAAAGTTCGGTTGAGTCCTATCAGGAAATGGTTCTATATGGATAAGGGTGAAGTGGTCAAATCCTAGTACAATAAGGATTCTTTAGAAGCTAAAGATGCTTCGAATCAGAAAAAGATGCTGAAAGACAAGATTTGAATTTGGGTGATTGGAGAGCTTGGTTCAAAATCCTATTGGGGGTTAGGATTGGTCAAGACTTGATTAGATTAGGTTAAGGAATTCTAGTTCGAGTGAAATTCTAACTTGGTCATTAGGGAGATTGCTACTATAAATAGAGAAGGGAGTCCATCATTCAAAACCCCCTCCAAATCAACACACAATTGCCTTGCACAAACAACCTATCAAAGACCTCGAGATTTTTATTTTCCTTTTTCTTGCCAACACACCTTTAGTTTAGATAAACAACATTGTGGAGGCAACCGGCAACATCTTCAGTTTGGATAAACAACACTGGAGCCATAGAATCAGTCGATGAACACCTTCAGTTTGGATAAACAGCACTGCTTCAAGACTGATTGGTTAGCTATCTAAGTCTTGCCAACAAGGATTTTCAAGTCCTTGTTGGAAGAGGTCATCTCATTAGCTCTCTCGGCAAAGTGAGGTGTTATCAGGTTACTGCATTTGGCACACTGAAAGCCGAATTTGATATTGAACTTCGCAGAACTAGCAGCCTTGTCTTCAGGCTCTAGAACCCAAAGGCCGAGACATGTTCCTTCCTCCGTCGCAATCGAGAGATTAAGAAGTTAGCAGTGTGCCTAACGCCACATCAACATTCATTTACTCTCCAGTCGAGCTCAGTCGATGAGTTGGCACACCCTGCATTCAATCGAGTGACATAGTTAGCTTATTATTTACTCAGCTTGCGGTCTACATAGGCTAAGTTGTTTTTAGGGTCAGCATTTTGGCACGCCCATTGGGAATCAATGCTAAAGCTACGAAGTTCATGACCATTGAAACACGATCAATCAAGAAGAAAACAATTATAGGTAAATCAACTGCCAGTTTAGCACTTATAGTTCAAAGTCTAGTCTAAGGCAATGTGTCGCAGACACATGATATCCCTGTTGCCATGACACCTGAAACCACATCACAGTCCGCTGATAAACGGACATTAATCTTAGCGAACAGAACCATAATGTCGTGGTCTTCACCCAAACCACCAGGGTGGCAAAATATGGTTTTATTGAAGGCTTGGTAGATGATTGTGACAACAAAGACGATGAGACCTCTGGTGCACCATCTAAATCTTTCTTTCGATGACGGTTGGAAGAATAATCTTGGCAATTTGAGCAAGTTTTTAGTTGAAAGGTGAAAAACCTACATGACAAGGTGCTTGAGAGCAACTCGGTGACTAATAAGTTCCTTGAAATTCTAGTTAACAAAGCTCATGAGAATGGGCCCATCGATCAGCCCAGACATAATCTCTTTTTAAAGAAGAATACTCCTTTGGGAGGGGAAACGCCGTCGCCAGTGTAAGCCAAGATAAAACTCAATTACCAGGTAATCGATCTCGAGAGACCATACAATGAGCCAAGCACCAGTTCGGCCAAATTTGGCCGAACAACATAAACGACATCTATTGATATGGGTGAAGTCCATAGAATGATCGATTCGGCTTTGACAAAAGGGTCAAAATTCTCAAAGTTTATCCATCCATATCCGACCTTTGTTGAAAGGTTTGAGTATCCCTGAGGTTTCAAGATTCTAAATTTTAGTCTCTTCACTCAGGAATCATCCTTGTCTTCATTGGAACATGTGGCCAGATTCATTGCCCAATGTGGAGATGCCAATAGCTATTTCCATAAACTACGATTGTTTAACTTCTTTTAACGGGCACGTTGTTTGCGTGGTACATCAACCTTCCACTGAATTCTATTCAGAATTGGGAAGAAATGGTCAAGAAATTTCACGAGCAATTCTATCGACCCATAATAGAAGTGTCGGCGTCTTGTTTGGCTAAAATAGCCTAGTCGTTTGATAAGTCACCAATGGAATTTCTTACCAGGTTCAAATCGGCCAGGAATTGGTGTAGGGTACCCCTCCATGAAGTCAAATTTGTTAGGCTCGCTCAAAATGGTTTGGATGTGGAATACAATAAGAAATTTTGGGAGCAAATTTTTGAGATATGTATGAGTTGGCACAGCACGTCGAGCAATATGATTATTTGCTCAAAGAAGAAAAGATCTTGAAAGCTCTAACCCGTGGGACAATTTCCAAGAATCCAACGGTGAGCTACATATTAGCTTGGAGTGACGAATCCCAATATGTCAATATAAACGCAGTTGAGATAGTAATTGACAAACCTTATGTATGCAAGGCACTGGCTCATGCTAGTTTCAAAGACGTCAAAATATGCTCGGCCTCTGTTGAAGCAACTGTCAAGACATCAAAGGTATACACTTTTGACATCACCAAGACTAACGTTATCTTCGACCAGTTACTACTTGTAAAGATTATCAAGCTTCGGCCAAGGCACGACATTTCTACAACAATTATCCTTTGATCATTTTTCCACCAACAATGTATAGAGTTGTGCTTTAGGGTTTCATTTTCCTTCTTTATTAGACATATTTTCATTCTATTTCTTCTTTAACAATTAGATTTGAGTTTGTTTTATAGAATTCTTGCCGATCGAATAGTATATGTGGGCAAAAAAGAGTATGACACTAAGGTTGCTCAGGTAGTCCTTCGTATTCATCAAATCTATTTCTTTTTTATTTCTTTGGCAAGAGCGGACAAACGATGTGTTTTAATTTCCTGAATTTAGCAAATCCATCGATCTTCCATTGCCTACTAAAATGTACTGGAAAAAAAAAAAAGAAAAAAAACCAATCTGGAACATCATTAGTTTTAATATAAGTTTTATCTTCTAGGGGATCCTTAATCACTGTCATACGTAATATATGGGGCAAATAATAATCTTTTCAACTTTTCTGCAGTTAATTTTCCATTGTATATCTCGGTACCTCTTCTTAAATATTCTTCCCAGGTTTCAAATAACCTATCGTCAAATTTTATCAGGCTTCGATTGTTGAGTTCCCTTTGAGCTCATTTGGTATTCTCCTATATCAGCGATGTTTAATAATCCCAATTCAATGTTTTTCTTACCCTGATTGATAGTCAATGGAAATAATCCAACTTTTAATTTAGTTGCCTTTAATATCTGGTGAGTAAATGGAAATTGGAAAACTTATCAAGCTTCCTTTGCCCTAGTAGTACAATTGACCAAGTTACGGGTGAATGCAACTATACTTTATGGTGATGGATTAGTTATATTCTTGTTTAGGTACTATGAATTTATAGATACTGCTTCATACTTTTTCTTGGTGGCTAGTTCGATGACAGATTTTTTGAAACCTAACAACTTGGAATAAAAACGTTTTTAAAAGAGTTTTTACATAAATTTGTTGTGCTAGGGTTTCCTTATCGCATATATGGATCTGATAATTTCTCAAGAACATATTCTGTAGTTTATTATATGTAGTGGTGCCCTTAATTTGTAAGTCTTTCCCATGTCTAAATGTTGGTCATAATCTCAATGGAGTCCCTTTGAGGGGATCATCCTCGGTAGATTAATTTGGTAATTTATGTGTCTCCGATACTAGTGCTTTCCAAAAGAATGATACTAGTTCATTGTATTATTCCCTTAAGCAGTAGATGGCCATCATCATCTCTGACCCAAAAACTGTTTTCTTGTACCTGCAAAGATAGCTGGCTAGGTTTCTTCCTTCTCACTGCAAGCCAGCTATTAATTACTTTCTCTTTACTGGCGTCATGATCTGGTGAGTAAATGGAAATGTGAGCTTCGTTTGCCAAGCTTACCTAGAA